GGCGGGGCAGCTATTCATGGCTGCTGCAAACAATAAGGCACCAACCAGCAAAAAGAGAGAGACACACCTTCTTTCCACCGTTACATTGTATGATGTAACTGTATGCTCCACCCCTGGGCGGGTGTAGCATTCACATCATCAATCCAAGCAGTAGACAAGGGCCACTGACATAAGCCATGACAGGCTGTATGCAGAGGTGCTGCGTCTGTTCATTGGGGGTTTGCTGTGCACCTTCCACCCTTTACTCTAGGGCAAAGACAACATACTTATTTGACTACACACCCCATCAGGATAAAAATGTTAAGCACAGACTTCCAGTTGATTTGTTGGATGTATACATGTAGTACCATCTCAAGGTAAACCCCCGGGGATGTTATATACACTTGGGATAAATGGAGTTCATTGCATTGTGGCAGCAGTGACTAGACATCTGCTTTGCACATCATGGTGCCAGTTCTTGTTTTCTTTGGCCAACTTCTCAGATCTGATTTCTTCATAAAGCAGTAAGTCAAGAGCTTGTCACCTTTGCTATTTTCTGATGCTTGCCTTACTACTAATAAATCTGTAGAGTTTCTTTACACCATTTTTCCATCTTATAAGAATCAGTTAGTGAAAAAGGATAGCATAATCCACATGTGGAAGCTCCCAGTACACTAAAAACAAGCACAAGTCTTCCAATGCCCTATGCATTCCCTACAGCGTAGGCCTTCTGGCCACTCTGGGGAACCTTTAACATACCATTTGCTGTAAGAGCTGAGTTGAGTGAAGATGTCAGTAAGAAAAGCTGAGTTGAGTGAAATCAGTAACAGTCTGGGCATTAACTATTAGAAAACAAGTTTTCATTTTTATTTGTAGAATAAAAACTTTTATTCTACAAATAATTTAGTTTTTAAAAATTCATCCTAATGAGTTAGTTGTCTTGAACATTCCTTAGGGTATGCACAACCTTACATCATCAATCCAAGTGACCACTGCTTAACAGAGAGGTCTGCCATTTAGGGCTGAGGCCAGTGAGCAGCAGTGCAGAGACCAAGCTCTCTGCAAAGCTGACTCTAAGCTCAATTGTTAGGAAGAAAAGCAGAAATTACAATGTTATGTGTTTATCTGAATAGACTTTTCAGTACTTGCAATAGCTCATTCTGAATTTCTGCTTGTGATACATAGAAAAGTCAGGTAGGTAGGATCCCTCTCTCAAAGAAATGTTTTGAGCTAGTGACTCTGTCCCTTTGATCCCAGCAGCCACGTGGGGTTTCCCTGGAGTTTGAAGAAAGGAACTCCAATGGGCTCTAGTTATCCTGCCAACCGAGTTTTAGAATGAGAGGGAATAGGTTTGAATCACAACTAAATAATTTTTAATTAGGAAACTTTTAATTCCCTGAAAACCTTATGTGATTAGCAAAGCATTTCTGTCTTGCAAAGCCTTGATTGGAATGAAGAATTTTACTGTCTTGATGATTCCAGCCATTCTTTGAACTTGATCATGTATTTACACAGGACATTTACTTACTTATTCACTTTTTCATTCATTCATTTTATTACTCTGGTGACCAGACTCGGGCCTCACTCATGCTTGCCCAGTGCTGTATCACTGAGTTACACCTCCCCCTCGCCCTTTTTAAAATTTTGAACAGTCCCTCCAAGTTGCCTGGCCTGGCACTGAACTTAGAGTCCTGCTGCCTTAGCCTCCTGCAGAGCAGGAGTCCATGCATGTGCCACCATGGCCAGCTCCAGAGCACTTCTGTTTAACCAGCTCCGTGGATGCTCAGAACACATGCATAAGTAGGGAGACATGGCTCCGCTGCATAAACACAGACAGCACTATCTGGAAAGTCAGCCAGCTCTTTGGCTTGGCTTCCCCCAGTAGTAATGCAGCATGGGAAGTTCTTTTCCAGGTGAAACCGTGTCCTTTTCACCCTGTGCGTAATTTCCCTGGTGCTTCTCACTTGGCATTTGTAAAATACTATATAAACTTTTGATAACACTTTTACCTGTTGACTTGCAGGAGTCCTTGGTATATTTTCAGTGCTTTTTTGATTGTAGAAAGTCTTTCGGTAACAGTGGTCTCATGTTGTAATACTGTGTCCTTTGTGCTGTAGTAATGGAAATTTTTTCCAAAGATAGTTTCTCCTACGTTAGCTTGCTGCAGCAAACAGAAACACTGAAATGACACCCAGGATTTTGGAGGCAGATATATTTTACATCGATAGCTCTAATAGGGATTTAGTCACTAAACTATCAGGCCCTGACCCTTGATAGTTGGGGGCTTGTATGGGATAAGCAAGCAGGAAGTACAGAAGCAGAGGACTTGGTTACATCTTATGTTGTGAATTACGGCCTGAGTGTGATTGGCCTGAGTGAAAACTACATCATGTATGTTGCAAGTATGTACGTTCAAACTCCAGGCAAAGTTGGAGTTATGTGAAGGATACAAATTCAAGGTGGGGGCAGGCTCAGAGTTTACAGGAAGCAAGCGCTTCAGACATAGGAGTTCAGGGTATGATTGGTCGACAAAGGAAATAGGCACCTGGCATTAGTGGAAGATAGGAAGACAAATCTGCTAGGGAGTAGCTAGTTGCAGGAATTTTAACTCTATTTTCCTCTTCAGGCCTGCCTCAGGCTGCAGTGTCCACAGAAGGGGCACGTCTCCAGCACAGGCCCTTCTCCCTGCATTTGGGCATTTCCAGGTGCAACTAGAAGCTCTAAGACTGTGCCCTGCAGAGGCCGAGGACACACACTGGGCCATCGGGGTGGTCTCAGCAAGGACCCGTTCACAAGGTTTTTGCCCTTTCTCCCCTTGTGGGAGAGCAGTTGTAGGGGGCCACCGTGCTCCAACAATCCTTTCCAAAGAAATGCCCTACTCTGGCTTCTTCAGCCCCTATCCTAATTTTTCCATGTACCAGCGGTAGTTGTTTGGCCATGATCTTGACCGTCCCTAGTAGACAGTCTTGCACTTTGGAGTGTGGGTACATGCACCTCACATGGAAGGAGATGGACAGTGGCCCTCCCACTGGCATCACAGAATAATGGCAGGAGGCCCCTCACAGGAGCCCAAAGTGACCTCTGCCTTGTAGCAGATCTTTCTGCCATTGGTGTCTCTCAAGGTTGCCTAGCTGTCTGTAGCTGGCTCTGATTTCCACATCATGGTCTCTTACTAAAAGAATCTCTTCAATTATTTGGGGCCGTTTCTTGTTCCTGAATTCCAGGGGAGCAGAGCCTGCCCATTGGCCGTTCTTCATATCAGTTCTGCCCCATATCACCACTTGTCTCTGCGTCTTCGCCGAGTGTTAGTTGTCACTGACAGCATTGAATTCCTGCTGGTCTCTGCAGTTTTCCAGGCAGCTGTGGTGAATAAACAACTTTACTCTCCCTTTTTTGAGAAATGGTTGTTTGTTTGTTTGTTTTTTCCATAAAAGTGTCACAGACCCCTGAGTGGAAAACGAGGGCTCATTAAGTTAGTTCTGATGTTTGTAAAGCATCTCAACACAGCTGACGCTTGAGGTGCTATTGTTCTGGCTAACTGAAGAGGAATTAAAAAATTCATTTCAATATCAGTTTTGTTTTGAAATCCTGAAATGTGTTGGTTTTTGTTTCCTGAGTTAGGTCATAAGGGAATCTGTATTTGATTCTTAGGGATATTATAAGTCTCATAAATATGCATTCTTTCCTACAGCATTATAGAACTAAGACATACAGAAAATCAAGTGGTGACTTGGGTGTAGCTGCTTGGTAGAGTGTTTGCCTAGATGTACAAGGCCCTGTGTTTGATCCCTGGCACTGTGAAAGAAAATTATAAGAATCTACCTTTTTCTCTCTTCTTGAATTCCCAATTCAAACTTGTTTTCTTGTTATATGGTCTTTCTCTTCACCCTAGAGTACAGTAACAATTCCAAGTGACTGAGAGCTCCAGTTTTAAGAGTCTGGAATATTGGGGTGTAAACCCTATTGGATTTCAAAAGAGCAGGACGACAGTGAGCCCTTTTCCTCTGAGATACTATAGAATTTAGTACTAGGACGATTATCTCTGAAAGTGCATAAGTTTTTCTTGAAAGAAGAGGGGACTTTCATCCCATAAACATAAATAATTACAGCTCATTTTTATAGCATGATTAATATATGTCAAACATTATCCTAAATGTTCTGATAACCGGCAACTTGGTAAAGTATGTGCTGTTATCCTACATTATAGATTTGAAAACTGAAGCGTAGGGAAGTTGAGCAGCTTTTCTAAGGTCATGTGAGATCAAAGCCAGGTCTGCTCTTTCAGAGCCCGTGCTCTCTGGGACCCCAGCCACCTGATAGGTGGTTATGGAGACCGGAAGTCTAAGTCAAAGCATGCAGCCTCTGCTCGCACATTAACTGCTGACGGTTTGTGCACCACGCTTGTTTGCTTTGGCCCCCTGGTACTCCATGTACCAAGTGTGGGCACTGAACCAGAATCTTGGGATACTCACTGTGTTCCTCGGGGCCTTGCTGCCCCCAGCAGCCGCATTAGGCAGAGCACTGACTCTTATGACTTTCAAATACAAGAGTTCCACATAAGATGTTGGAGGGAGGCTTCCATTACTAAAAATAAATCTCATTAAAACAATGAGTTAAAACAATGGAACAGTGAACCATGTAACTGTGTGGCTCTCCTGTAAGCATCTTCTTTTTTTTTGAGACAGGGTCTCACTATGTAGTTCATGCTGGCCTCGAACTTGCAGCAGTCCTCCTGCCTCCACCTTCCCAGTGCACGTACCACTATGCCTGGCCAGCATGAGATTTTTGTGATGCTAGAGATTTTATTTTCCTGCAAAATAAGTTCTTCCATTTCTAGGAAAGAAAAATACTCTGGTTTTCTCTTGATCGAAGATGTCATGATCCCACCAAGTGGTGTCTCTTAGGCATGGGCACATTTTTATGTTACTCGAGTGTCTCATAAACTAACATGCTGTCAGTTTAAGAGGGGAGAAACTGACACAACTCAGGTTCACAGAAGACCCCTCTGTCTTTCCCTGCAGAGAAGCCAGTGCTTCAGAGCAGGCACTCTCTGGATGGCTCCAAACTTGCCGAGAAAGTAGAAACTGCCCAGCCGCTGTGGATAACATTAGCACTGCAGAAGCAAAAGGGATTTCGAGAGCAGCAAGCTACCCGAGAGGAGAGGAAGCAGGCCCGTGAGGCCAAACAGGCAGAAAAGCTCTCCAAAGACAACGTGAGTAGCTTGCCTTCAACTTTTGTTTTGTTTCATTTTGTCTTGTTTTGTACCAGGGATCAAACTCACGACCACACACGGCAAGGCTGGGGCTTATGCCACTGAGCTAAATCCCTGGCTCAACTTTAGTTTTGCTGTCCTAAACTTAGCTCATTTAGGTCACAAGGATTAAAAAAAAAGAAAAGAAAGAAAGGGCTAACCACGGTTAGTGAAGTTTACAAAGGACAGAACAGTAAATAAATCAACTTACCTTTAAGTCAGAGAAGCATTTTCAGTATGAAATTTGATGTGGTTTCAGCATGCTTTTAGGTGAACTTGGTTTGCAGAATTCGTGGTATATTTATAGCAGTCACCCACGGAGAACACCACTTAGGGCGGGCCCTTTGAGTTTTCACTCTCCATGGTTTCCGTTTCCCAAGGCCAATCATGGTCCAGAGACATTAGATGGAAAATTTCGGAAATAACAATCCATGCATTTTAAATTTTGCTGTGAGTAGCAAGGTGAAATTGCGGGCTGCCCCACTGCATCCTTCCAGGACCTGGGTCATCTCTGGCTAACATCTGTCTACACCACCTCCCCGTAGTGGTCTCGGTTATCAGACTGAGTACCACAGTGATAACAGTGCTTGTGTTCAGGTAATCCCTGCTTTAACAGTGACCCAAAAGCAGTGAGTTAGATACTCACAAGAGAGGCTGTAACTTGCCTCCTTTGCATGGGAAAGGAAAACTTCTGGACTTAAAGAAAGGAAAAATACTGCTTGTGGAGGTTGTTAAGATCAAAGGTAGAAGGGAAGCGTGCATGATTGTGTAGGGTTTAGTCCTATCCATGGCTTCAGGATCCACTGGGGTCTTAAAATTTGTCCTTCTTGGGTAAGGGAACACTATTGCCTATGAGAAGTAAATGATTTTATTTAAGCAGTGGGAAGAATAGAAATCCAGAGCCTTGTTTCTGTGGCTGGATCGGTTAGTTCATTAGGCTTCTCCTGGGAAAGGAACTTTGTCCTTGGGCCACTAATACTGACCACTCCCTTGCTGGAGGCTGGGCTGCGCGTACACTGCTCTCCAGCGTGGTCCAGGAGGAGCCCAGCCCTGGTCATGGGAGCCCATGGTGGCAGGGTCAGTCTGTCTGTGAGGCTGAGAACAACCTCCCGTCTCTGCCCACCAGGCCAGCATCAGCGCACAGCCTGGCAGCAGCAGTGTCCGCAGAACAGGTTCGCTGCACAAGTCCTCCGCTCAGCCAGATGAGAAGCCGGAGACCGCCGTGTCCCGGCTTGAGCGCAGAGAACAGCTGAAAAAGGCCAACACCCTTCCAGCGTCTGTGACAGGTAGGAGCTGGCCCACTTTTCTTATCTTTGGTTACATGCTTTTTTCCTACAGTGTAATAGTTAGCACAGCTTCAGAGGCCTCAGGCTGCCTCGTGGCCCCATTCATGAAGTCTGAGATCAATAAAGCTAATCTGATAAAGGCCACCAGACACTCCTCTGCTGTCAGCAGTTTGATGGGAAACGTTTTCACCTCCTCCAGCACTGGAGAGACCCCTGATTTATAGCACTTGCTATTTTCTGTGGTGTCAGTTCTGTCACTATGGCCAGTTTACAGTAACACCGTACCATCAGCTGGCTCGCCAAACCTTTAACAAGACAGTGTGACCCATCTGTGCAGCCGCTTCCTGCAGCCTGACAAGCTGACCCAAGAAGAGACAGGCTAGAACGGGATTTGGGGGCAAGGGTGAATCTTAGGTACAATTTCAATGGAGCGCATTTTGATAAGCTCAGAGCAAAAGACAGACAAAAAGCTGAGCTGGGGAGATCGAGCTCCTGCCTCTTTTGAAACTACAAAGTACAGTGTGTGAAAACCTTCCGTGTGAGGCCCCCCTGAAGCTCGGCACCTAGCCTGGAAACAGAAGCAGCTCCTGTGCCACTGACCCACAGGACTGCAGTGCTCCAGGTCCGTTCTAACTCAGGAGTTCAGACGCAAGTTCCTGCTAGTCTGACTTCCAAGGGAAGGTTTCTCACCAGCAGGCCTGTGATGTTAATTAACAGCCGCAGTTTGTGTATATTTGTAACATAAAAGTTACTAATTTGAAAAATTATTTTGTTAAAAGAGAAAATTATCCAATAGTTTCCAACTATTTCCTTATTACAAATTACTAGGTACATGTTTTTTATATGACAATATTATGGTTTTATTTTTTTTTTACTTTTTATTTTACTGATGCATAATGATATAATGATAACATTCATCTCTGGGAGTTTGTACCTATACATGGATCATGTATTTTGCTCCGCTCCCTTCAATCCCTTTTCCCTTCTTTGTTTACAAAAACTGTTTCCGGTTTCCCTTGTATTCTTTTCTTCCTTGTCCCTCCTTTCCTTTCCCTCTCCCCTTCATTTCCCTTCTCATTTGAACACTTCTCATTTCCAAACTCTGTTACACATTTTGCTCCTTATATACACTTTCAGTTTCTCATACCAGAGAAACCATGTGATCCCTGAGCATGTCTGTGTGATTTATTTAACTTGAGTATGGTTTCCAGGTGCATCCATTTAGCTAGAAATGTCTCAAGTCCTTCTTTATAGCACAGTACTACATTGTATTTTAAAAAAAACAAACACATCTTCCTTCTCCATTCATTGGTTGATGGGCATTGGGCTGTTTCCAAGATTAACCTATTACAAACTGTGCCACGGTAAACATGAGTGCACGTGTACTGATGTGTATGATGCTTTTAATTCATTCAGGAAGATACCAATAAGGGCAATACCGGGGTCAAATGGAATTTCTAGTTTTAGTTTTTTGAGAAATCACCACAAAGATTTGCACAATGGTTGCACCAGGCTGCACTCCCACCAAGAGTGAAAATTCCTTTTTCTCCATAGCCCCCACCAGCATTTGTTATTGGTTGATTTTTTTCTTTTTTAGGGGGAGGGTACTGGGAATCGAACTCATGACCTTGCACTTGCCAGGCAGGCAGTTATACCACTGAACTATATCCCTGGTAATTGATTTCTTGATAATAGCCATTTTTCCAGAGATGGAATTTGTGCATTATTTTCATTTCAATCCATCAAATAACCAGAGCACAAGATATCTGCATTCAGTTGTTCAAATAATACCAGCACAAATCTTTCTCTTCAGTAAATTCAAAGAAATCAGTAGTATAACTCTTAATAGTTGTTTCAGCTTCTCACAGTAACGACAATATGTTTATACTTGTATTATTTATTTCACTAATGAGTATGTTCTCAAGTTGCATCCATTTACATGTAAAAGTCTCCAGTTTTATCTTTCTTTATGGCTAAGTAGTACTCCATTGTATAAAAATACCACATCTTTTTTATCCATTCCTCCATTGATGGGCATTTAGGTTGCTTCCAAGATCAGTCTATTATGAATTCTGCTGCTATAAACATGGGTGCACATATATCGCTGTGGTATGCTGTTTTAAATTCTTTTGCGAAGATACCCAGAAGTGGACTAGCTGGGACAAATGAGACCTCTACTGCTGGTCTTTTGAGGTATCTCTACACTGATTTCCACAGTGGTTGCACCAGTTTGCATTCCCACCAACAGTGGAGAAGAATTCCTTTTCCCCTCCAGCCCCTCCAACATTTGTTATTGGTTGATTTCTTAATAGTAGCCATTCTTTCTGGGGTGAGGTGGAATCTCAGTGTTGTTTTAATGCGCCTCTCAAAAGACTAATGATGTTGAACATTTTTTCACATTTATTTTGTTTGTATTTCTTCATCTGAGAAGTGTGTAGTCATCTCAGATGTCTATTTTTTGGATAGGATCTTTAAATTTGGGAGGACCGATTGTGTGTGTCTGTTCTTTATACATTCACGATAGTAGTCTTTTGTCTAAGGAACAGCTGGCAAACATTTTCTCCTACATGTGGGTTGTCTCTTCACTCTGTTGGTGGTTTCTCTTGCTGTGTAAAAGTTTTTCAGTAGGGTGTGATTCCAGTTGTTGATTCTTTGTGATAGTTCCTGTTCAAGCTGGATTTTGTTCATAAAGTCTTTGACTACACCAGTGTCTTCAAGAGTTTTACCTCCTCTATCTTCCAGCAGATTTAATGATTCTGTTTTAATATTAAGATCTTTGATCTCTTCTGAATTTAGCTTAGTGCATGGTAGATGATATGGTTTTAATCTTTGTTTTAATCTTTGGCATGTATAGAGCCAGTTTTTTCAGCACCATTTATTATCTTTCTGCCAATGAATGTGTTAGGCCCTTTTGTTAAAGATAAGATGGCTTAATGTGTCTGGAATTGTTTCTGCATCTTCTGATCTGTTCCACTGATCTTTGGATCTGGTTTTTTTGTTTGTTTGTTTGTTTTGTTTTTGTTGCCAATACCACACTGTTTTCATCATAGTAACTTTACAGTACAATTTCAAGTCAGGGATTGTCATGTCCCCTGTCTTGTCTTTGCTGCCCAGGATTGCCTTTGTTGTTCTAGGTCTCTTCTGTTTCCAAATAAATTTTAGGATTGTTTTCTCTAATTCTGTGAGATATACAATTGGAATTTTGATTGGAATTGCATTGAATCTGTATAACAATTTTGGAAGTATGGCCATTGTCACTATATGGTTCTTTCTACCCAAGTGCATGAGGTATCTGTCCATTTTCTAATATCCTTTTCAATCTCCTTTTTCATAGTAGTATAGTTTTCAATGTAGAGGTCTTTTACATCCTTTGTTAGACTGATTCCTTAGGTATTTTTTTTAATGCTATTGCAAAAGGTGTTGTTTCCCTGATTTCTCTCTCAGTGAGTTTATTTGTATATAGGAAAGCTATTGATTTTTGAGTGTTGACTTTGTATCCAGCTGAATTTGCTTATTAAATCTTTTAGTCTTTTGGTGGGGTTTTTGAGGTCTTCTAAGTAGAGTATCATATCATCTGCAAAGAATGAAAATTTTGCTTCCTTTCCCATCTTTATTTCTTTTATTTTTTTCTCTTGTCTAATTGTTACAACTAAAACTTCCAAGACTATGTTGAGTGGAGACAGTGGACATCCTTGTCTTGTTTCTGATTTCAGAGAAAGCTTTCATTTTTTATCCATTTAGTATGATGTTGGCTGTTGATTTGTCATAGATGGCTTTTATCAGATTGAGATAAAGACCATCTATTCCAATTTTATGTAGGGTTTTTATCATGCATGGGTACTGGACTTTGTCAAAAGCTTTTTCTGCATCTGTTGAGATGATCATATGATTTTTGTCCTTGGCTTTGTTAACATGGTGTATTACATTTATGGATTTATGTATGTTGAACCATCCCTGCATCCCTGGGATGAATCCCGCTTGGTTATAGTGCATAATTAAGATGATTTGCTGCAGTCTGTTTGCCAGTATCTTACTGAGGATTTTTGCATCAATGTTCATTAGGAAAACTGGCCTATAATTCCTTCTTAGTTGAGTCCTTTTCTGGTTCTGGTATCGGGTTGATGTATGCTTTCAGGAATGAATTTGGAAGTATTGCTTCCCTTTCAATTTTATTAAAGAGTATGAGTAGTGTTGTTAGTGGAATCTTTACTATTATATTCTTTCCTGTAGTTTTTTTTAAATCATTGCTAATGTTAGCTTTGAATGCCTCACTTACCTGAATGTCAAATTCTTTTTCTCTGGTCGGGAAACTTTCTGCCATTTCTTCTGTGAAGAAGGTTTTTTATGTCATTTGTATTAGATCCTTTATCATTGACTCTGATCAGTTTTATATTATTCTTCTTTACATTATCTAACAGCTATTGGATTGATTTTTCATGCTCCTTTTTTGTTTGTTTGTTTGTTTGTTTGTTTGTTTTGGAGACAGGGTCTTGCTATGCAGGTTAGGCTGGTCTTTACCTCACTTTGTAACCCAGGCTGGCATGAACTCACAACCTCTTGCCTCAGCTTCCCAAGTGCTGGGGTTATAGGTTTGTGCCAAAATGCCCAACTTGTCCTTTCCATTTTAAAGAAACCTTTTTCACGATTGCTAACTGCAATCCTGTCTTCTACATCTGATATTCTGTCCCAATACTGGCTCATTCCACTACATATTTGTGCACTGGAATTTTTAGTGTCCTGGAAGTTTGGTGACAGGAATTGAACTCAAAACCTCACACTTGCCAGGCAGGTGCTGTGCTGCTAAGCTATATCCCTGGCCCTGGATAACTATTTGAATGTTTCATGGCATCCATTTCTGCACTGGACATTCATAGTTTCCATCATGTTTCTCTATTTTTTGTAATCTGTATCTGTTCTAAAGTCACTTATTCTTTTATTATGGTCACTATCTCTATAGTTATCTGAGAAATTATTTCTGATTGCATTTTTTCTAGAGCCTC